GCAGAGGCAGAGTATCGGGCATTGGCACTTGGCACATGTGAGATTATCTGGCTACGATCGATTCTTGACGAGTTGGGTTTTTCAGTGACCTCTCCATCCACATTATATTGTGATAATCAATCTGCTATTCAGCTCGCTTCTGACTCTGTACTACATGAGAGAACGAAGCATATAGAGATCGATGTTCACTTTCTTCGGGAGAAGGTCAGCAGTGGTCTTGTTACTCCATCGTTTGTGGGGACCAGTGATCAAGTTGCGGATGTTTTTACCAAACCTGTCACTCTGTCTATTCTTCGGGACTCCGTTGTCAAGCTTGGCTTAGTTGACATTTTTGCGCCTAGCTTGAGGGGGAGTGTTGGAGTATAGATAGTCTAGGTTTATTAGGATTTCTCTTTCCTAGGTTTATTAGGATTTCTTTTCCCTTTAGGATTTCTTTTCCCTTTTTTACCCTTACTATGATTTTTATATTTTTCCTATATATACGGGGTTTTACTCTTAATTTGAATATCTCCTTTTACTCACAATTATTTCAAGTGTTACTTTTTAAACGGTAAGGTCTTTTCTATACACCAGAGCCTTTACTTCATTTAATCAATGTTATTGGTAACTTGTATAGTTTAGATTCTTTAATTCTATCCATGAATTATCTAGTAATAGGTCTTTTACAACCAGATTTATCTACATACACAGTAACAATATTTAATTACGAAGGTTAGCTGGTAGCTGACCCTATTAGGCCGTTCTTGGCAATAGGGGAGAGTCTAATCTCTCTTTTATTCACAATGCTTTTGGGTAAACCGTTTTAGTAGCAACACAAGATATTATATTCCCACCTAACCATATAAAGGTTACTTTCCTAGCTCTCTAGATGTGCCTCTCCTACTATATCAAAAAAAAAAAAAATCACCTAAAGGTTGGATAACTAAGTCAAAAAGTTCACGAAGCATTGAAAAATAAGAAGAGTATCAACATAGAATAACCCATCGAAGGATTGCGAGTATTTCCTTCTTTTTGTGTTGTCTTTATTTCAATTTTGGTTGTCAAAATATGACATGATTCATTAACTCAACATGAATACGATACAAAATTAAAAAATTTGAGTCTTTTTTAAATTATTTATTTAATAAATGAGTGAATTTAATATGACACGATTAATAAACGAATTGAGTATAAATAAAATTAATTAAAAAAAATTTATAATAATTTATTTATATACCAATTATATATGACACGAATTCAATGTTAGATGAATCATAATATGAGTAGAGTATATTTTGACGAACTAACTAAAATTCAATACAAATCCGGCTCATCTGACCCTAGGTAAGTAACGAGTCACCATGTGTAGGGGCGACTTAGTTAATTCAGATATATTTTCAGAATCTTAGATGCCTGTAATAGACTTAAACNGGTTGTCTTCGTTTATCGTGAAACTTCAAATATTTTGATTTAAGGTACTCTAAAGCTTGCGCTTGTTGGCTGTAACATGTCATATAAATCTTAAACATAGATTTGTTTCTGCATGTTTGAAAACCGTGCAAGACAAAAGATTCTGTGTTCCTACAAAGTTCTTCCCGGAATTTCAATCAAATATTTTTTAAGGTTGTAAATAATGAATGGAAAAAGGTCCATCATCAATTCTACCAATAGGAAGGAAGACATTAAAATGATCCTCTCATTCTTTCACTCTATGTTAACTTTGTATCTGTGCTCTTCAAAAAGATTTTCTGTTTTTGCTTTTACATTTGGTGTCCGCCTCACTACTTTTCTCCTGTTCTTAAGCATTTAAGCAAGTGAGAGGCTATTGCCAAGAGAGGATAAGTTTTGATTTCATAGTTTTTGCAAAAACATTCCGCCACTGAATTACTTCCGAGAAGGCAGCCTGTTTTCCCAATGAAATACTATGCTAGGGTTAGGTAAAAAGAAGTATCCATTTCAATTCAACCCAAGGGGTCTTATATTCTTGTGATGGCCCTNTAGCAAATAATGCATGGGTTGGATCAAAGTACGAGATCGACTGTACAATGTGTGGTGCCTGTGACAACCCATGCAACCAAACACCATCGCCGCCGCCACCTCCCTTTTTAGCACCGCCACCAACATCTTCCTCCTCCAATTGTCCTCCACCTCCACCATCTACGTATCCATACTCATCGCCGCCTCCACCGGGTGGTATTATTGGAAGCAGTAGCTATTACCCCCCTCCGGCGCCGTACAAAAGCTATCCAACAGGACCAGCCCCACCTCCTCCGAACCCAATTGTGCCGTACTTCCCATTTTACTATTACAGCCCACCACCACCTCTGTCTGGGTCTCGGCCATTGTCTAGTTCTACGACTTACTTGATCACTCTGCTTGTCATTTTCTTCGTATTTTTGCTCTGAAGCATGGTTAAGGCAATTGCATTGGATAATAAAGTGTCAGATTCACAGATTTAGGAGCTCGCAGATGTGAGACAAAGAGAGGGTTTTTATGACCAAAATAAGAGAAATGATTGTGTATTTCATTAAGCACAGATAAAAATGAGAGAGTTTCTTTCTGGCAGGAGAAATTAAGGTTGATGATGACTAAAGTAAAAGCTCTCTCTCTCTGAAGAGTAATCTGTAAATCCTTGACAATTTATGTCTTGTTTTGCAATCAATTTCAATGAAATTTTATTAAGGATGCGAGGAAATTGCTCATAATATGTGCTGTGTGTCTCGTGTTCATGATTATCAAAATCACTACATGGAAATAAAATAAAATGAAAAGGATAAAATACATTTTGGTCCATCAATTATGTATTTTGTGTAAATTTGGTTCTCAATCTGTTAAATATGTCAATTTAGTCCATCAACTTTTCAATTTGTGTCACTCAAGTCCAATAGAAAACAATAGTTGTAATTTATTAACAGAGATTGTCATGTTGAGACGTATTCTTTACAAACTTTAGACTAAAATAACACAAACTGTAAACTTGAAAGACTAAATTGATTCGAGGGACCAAAGTGACCTCTCAAATGTAGTCATGCGCCGTTTTAGTATAGTGGTGAGTTAAAAAAAAAGTGTGATCACATAAATATCTCTGTTAGTCAATTCAAATTATCGTTTTCAATTAAACAAAAGTGATAGATTAAAAAGTTAAGAGACCAAATTAACACAAATCAAATATTGAGGACTAAACTAACACAAATAACATAATTTAGGGACAAAAAAAAATATATTTTACCCAAAAAAATACCACTTCACATTTTTTGGGTCACAGTACATATAGAAGAGGGAGTTGGTGATATTTAAACCTTGCATCTGTAAATAAGGTAAAAAAAATGAGCCAAACCTCTTGCCTTACCACCTCATCTATATTATTTTAAAGGAAATGCTATTTGGAGATTTTATTTAAGAATTTAACGATGTAATGATGATGGTAGACATCTTTCCCTCTGTCACTCCCAGCTCTAATGATGGCGAAACTTCGTTAGTGCCCAACATGCCACTCTCTCTCTCTCTCTCTCCCATGGTAAATCCCTCAAGCTACTCATTTCCTGTCCGACGGACGACCGCTGAGGTGTTGTTAGGGTCTTTCTTTGATTTTCGGTTTCAATGTTTCATTAGGTGGTTTGAATTTTGTGTTAGCAAGCTTCGTTTTTGAATTTTTTTGGGTTGTATGTAGATTATTAAATTGTCTCATGCTATATAAGATTATATCATAATTAGATCATGTGGTCGAATTTTTGGTAGTAAAAAACTAAAACGTAGGTAATTAGTGCCAAAACTTGGTCAAATTTGACTACATATGTTCTTCTCACTTCATGTGTATATTAAAATTTACTGGTTGTCTTCGTTTATCGTGAAACTTCAAATATTTTGATTTAAGGTACTCTAAAGCTTGCGCTCGTTGGCTGTAACATGTCATATAAATCTTAAACATAGATTTGTTTCTGCATGTTTGAAAACCGTGCAAGACAAAAGATTCTGTGTTCCTACAAAGTTCTTCCCGGAATTTCAATCAAATATTTTTTAAGGTTGTAAATAATGAATGGAAAAAGGTCCATCATCAATTCTACCAATAGGAAGGAAGACATTAAAATGATCCTCTCATTCTTTCACTCTATGTTAACTTTGTATCTGTGCTCTTCAAAAAGATTTTCTGTTTTTGCTTTTACATTTGGTGTCTGCCTCACTACTTTTCTCCTGTTCTTAAGCATCTAAGCAAGTGAGAGGCTATTGCCAAGAGAGGATAAGTTTTGATTTCTTAAGTTTTGATTTCATAGTTTTTGCAAAAACATTCCGCCACTGAATTACTTCCGAGAAGGCAGCCTGTTTTCCCAATGAAATACTATGATAGGGTTAGGTAAAAAGAAGTATCCATTTCAATTCAACCCAAGGGGTCTTATATTCTTGTGATGGCCCTTTATGGTCATATTCATGGCTTTGTAATTGCTAAAATTATACGGCTTGTTCTAGGCATACGACCCTGATACGTTAAAGTTTTATTATGACAGTCCGGTTTAGAAAATGATAGCAGTAATTATAAATAAGAACGAGAAGAGTTAAGATTTAGGAAATGAAGTTTTATGGAAAAGAGGAAAAATATGTATGTAAAAAAAGAGATAAGTCTCTATCCATCCCCTTGTTAGGAAATTCACACAAAATTCCCAAACTTGTGAGAAATAAAAATAGAGAAAACACACGCGAAAGAAAAACAATCCCACACACAAGACAATATTAATGTGGTTCGACAATTTGTCTACGTTCACAAAATTGCAGGAATTTCATTATTATCAAGAAGGAATACAAAACAGTTGTACATAATCAATAAAACTCTAATCACTCAAAACAACAGGTTTTATAAGTCCTGCACCGGGCTATAAAGCAGGCCAAAAATTTTGGCACTAATTACCGGACTACAACAGATTTTATATGTCTTGCACTGAGCAATCGACCCAAGTCTCTGTTTTATGGACTAAGCATCAGAAATTTTTTTATTAAAAAATCACATAATATTATTTTAGATTGGATCATTATCCGGATCAACACAAAAAATTAAACTCCACAAAAGCCCAATGCCCCTCACTCTATAGGGCTAAGGNCAATCAATTTCAATGAAATTTTATTAAGGATGCGAGGAAATTGCTCATAATATGTGCTGTGTGTCTCGTGTTCATGATTATCAAAATCACTACATGGAAATAAAATAAAATGAAAAGGATAAAATACATTTTGGTCCATCAATTATGTATTTTGTGTAAATTTGGTTCTCAATCTGTTAAATATGTCAATTTAGTCCATCAACTTTTCAATTTGTGTCACTCAAGTCCAATAGAAAACAATAGTTGTAATTTATTAACAGAGATTGTCATGTTGAGACGTATTCTTTACAAACTTTAGACTAAAATAACACAAACTGTAAACTTGAAAGACTNTGTGGGAATTGTGCAGTTTGATTGAAATGAATATAGTAACATGTTCAACAGTTTTACGAATTTGGTCCACGTATAACACACGTCTATAACAATTAGTATTAATGAATAATAAATTTTACAATCAAAAAGAATTAAACATTCTATAATGATACAAATAAATTTTTATTATTACATGTTAACAAAAGTTTAAAATAAAAATTACTTAGTAATCTATCTATACATATAAAATAATCAAATTAGATGAGAAGTAATTTGAAAAGCTTTTCTTTTCACCTTTTTTTTTTTAGAATTTAAATTTTTTTAATTCAAAACTTAAAACTCCCTCTATTCAGATGCTNATAGAAGAGGGAGTTGGTGATATTTAAACCTTGCATCTGTAAATAAGGTAAAAAAAATGAGCCAAACCTCTTGCCTTACCACCTCATCTATATTATTTTAAAGGAAATGCTATNCTAACATGTGTTATTACTAACTATTCACTAACTCTTCAATAACTAAATATTATTTTTAAAAAAATTAATTTTTATCACCCAAAAACTTAAATAGAATTATTTATTTAACTTTTCAAGTAATAAAATANCTTGGAGATTTTATTTAAGAATTTAACGATGTAATGATGATGGTAGACATCTTTCCCTCTGTCACTCCCAGCTCTAATGATGGCGAAACTTCGTTAGTGCCCAACATGCCACTCTCTCTCTCTCTCTCTCCCATGGTAAATCCCTCAAGCTACTCATTTCCTGTCCGACGGACGACCGCTGAGGTGTTGTTAGGGTCTTTCTTTGATTTTCGGTTTCAATGTTTCATTAGGTGGTTTGAATTTTGTGTTAGCAAGCTTCGTTTTTGAATTTTTTTGGGTTGTATGTAGATTATTAAATTGTCTCATGCTATATAAGATTATATCATAATTAGATCATGTGGTCGAATTTTTGGTAGTAAAAAACTAAAACGTAGGTAATTAGTGCCAAAACTTGGTCAAATTTGACTACATATGTTCTTCTCACTTCATGTGTATATTAAAATTTACTGGTTGTCTTCGTTTATCGTGAAACTTCAAATATTTTGATTTAAGGTACTCTAAAGCTTGCGCTCGTTGGCTGTAACATGTCATATAAATCTTAAACATAGATTTGTTTCTGCATGTTTGAAAACCGTGCAAGACAAAAGATTCTGTGTTCCTACAAAGTTCTTCCCGGAATTTCAATCAAATATTTTTTAAGGTTGTAAATAATGAATGGAAAAAGGTCCATCATCAATTCTACCAATAGGAAGGAAGACATTAAAATGATCCTCTCATTCTTTCACTCTATGTTAACTTTGTATCTGTGCTCTTCAAAAAGATTTTCTGTTTTTGCTTTTACATTTGGTGTCTGCCTCACTACTTTTCTCCTGTTCTTAAGCATCTAAGCAAGTGAGAGGCTATTGCCAAGAGAGGATAAGTTTTGATTTCTTAAGTTTTGATTTCATAGTTTTTGCAAAAACATTCCGCCACTGAATTACTTCCGAGAANCTCTCTCTCTCTCTCTCTCTCTCTCATACACACACATGTTGAATATGAATCAGACCTTGGGGCCAGCTGGGCCACCTCTCCAAAGAGGGGTTTTGCTGGTACCGCAATCAGCGCAGGTCTTGAACTGATTTCCATCTGATGAAACCCTATCTGGGGTGTGGGTATTCATGTCTTCCGATTCTGATGATCCCTGCACCAGAACATCAAATTAAAGCAAATCAAAACCTGATCGCAGGGTAGCTGGACTGGATACACACACACACCCCCATGTACCAAAATACAGGTATTTTCAGGATGATTAGCGAATATGATGCAAAAGGGGAAGCTCATGATCACTTACTTTGTCCCTCAGATCCACAATTTTTACCACCTATTTAAGGATCTGCAACGAGCCGCGAAGAAATTGACGAACCAACTGACTAGTAAACGAGGAATTGAAACACACATATGATTATAAACACTTTGATCAGGACAGAACTACAGAGATCACAACACCACTCAAAGAAGAAGAAGGAGAGAGATGTTATTTTCTAGCAAAAATAACGGAGCCCCCAGAACAATAATGGCAAATCAAACCCACAGACCACACTTAGAGAGACTAGACTACGAGCTTCCCTAATTAGAAATGAATCAGACTCTTCAGCTAATAAATATATGCCAGAAGTAGAAGAGAGAGAGAGAGAGGGGTATGGAGGTAATGAACTACACACGAATTTTGCTAAGACAAACGAAACCGCCATGTANTTACTCAATATCTTAAGTACTTGGTAAAGGAAAAGACAACTCGACGCCATCAAAGTGTATCTCCCTCCCACCCATTTGATGCGGGTTTTGAAGCGATTTATGTGCACTGCTGAACTGCTTCGTCGGGCAATTTTGAGTTCTATCGGTATGCTTGAATTTGAACTCAATCTTCCCAATTGGAAAATCATATTAGGCTTAGAGTTCAACCAATTTCAACTAGAATAGAGGATGACTGAGGTGGAATACACCCTTTTTTTTTCTTTTTTTTTTTTTGGTTTAATGGTTCGGAATATCTAAACTAATTTACGAGCCCCTCCCTCAATTAATCTCTCTCCCTGTACTGGTCAAAGGAAAGGATATTCATAAATCTNATCTAAGCCGTAGGAATTGATCATGCAACCACAGCTTATTAAATCAACATCAAGCCAGTTGGGAAATGGTTGATTATTGATTAAGACTAATCATAGGTTTCAGCCCTCGCAATAACAATTTTGGTAACTCTACCACCAACTCTATTCCCTCCATTCACCATTTATGAACAAGTAAGGTTGCTTGNCTTGAGGGATGAATCCACTATCACAGTGCATACCAATATTTGCATATGCATACAGTGATGGAGATTGCATACTATACTAATAAAATCTTATTATTTTGGTCAGTGTTTATCGTGTCATTATTTTGATCCACACATGACAAACATGTACAAAAGTGACATATAAACGAGTGAAAATAACACATGAACAACTCCCACACAATGAACAACAATAATGCTTTTCTGGAGACAAAATGCCCCCTAGAGTGTCTTTCCTGTTGTATTATCATGGTCCAGTGCTCTAATTCACATGATCTTGGGGGTNAATAGATGGTGAAATATGCTATAACATGCAAGTGTTCTAATTGAGGGACATAGAGACCAAATTTAACCTCATAGAACAAAGCAACAAGATGAAGGTGTCATAGATGTCTTCTCTGTGTTTATGCATTAAAGCATATTGGCCCGTCATTTTACTCAATATCTTAAGTACTTGGTAAAGGAAAAGACAACTCGACGCCATCAAAGTGTATCTCCCTCCCACCCATTTGATGCGGGTTTTGAAGCGATTTATGTGCACTGCTGAACTGCTTCGTCGGGCAATTTTGAGTTCTATCGGTATGCTTGAATTTGAACTCAATCTTCCCAATTGGAAAATCATATTAGGCTTAGAGTTCAACCAATTTCAACTAGAATAGAGGATGACTGAGGTGGAATACACCCTTTTTTTTTCTTTTTTTTTTTTTGGTTTAATGGTTCGGAATATCTAAACTAATTTACGAGCCCCTCCCTCAATTAATCTCTCTCCCTGTACTGGTCAAAGGAAAGGATATTCATAAATCTCTCAAGCCTGTCCCCGAAAGGCTGCCTTGAGGGATGAATCCACTATCACAGTGCATACCAATATTTGCATATGCATACAGTGATGGAGATTGCATACTATACTAATAAAATCTTATTATTTTGGTCAGTGTTTATCGTGTCATTATTTTGATCCACACATGACAAACATGTACAAAAGTGACATATAAACGAGTGAAAATAACACATGAACAACTCCCACACAATGAACAACAATAATGCTTTTCTGGAGACAAAATGCCCCCTAGAGTGTCTTTCCTGTTGTATTATCATGGTCCAGTGCTCTAATTCACATGATCTTGGGGGTTGGGTTTGTAGATAGTTTCAAACATCGTAGCTAAAAGTTGTCATAATTATTATTGTTTTCGGTAATCTTGATTTCACACATGTCGCATAAATTCGCCCAATTGAATTTCCAATGACGGATTACTCAATCTCCAAAATCTAAGGTTTCTTATTTTTGTCTTGACATTTTGTCTTATTAGTTTTATTCTAAAACATGATTAGTGGAAAGAAGTGAGAGATTGAATCAAAGTGATAGACATCGGGTTGTGTTTGGTTGACCTCACCGTATCAAACAAATGCATTACAGCCATTAGCTTAGGCCATGGTATTGCCTTGCCTAAAGTACATCACATGCCAACAAAAAGTGTCGTATGATTGCGACAACGTTGTTTTTGTGGACCATTTCTTTGATTCTGCAATCGTTTGATGTTACTCTGCACTTCAATTGTGTTTAAAACTGGCTCAAGGCAAAACAATTCAAATTTATAAAACTATTTGGAGACTATATAAATAGGGGTGACCTAAGATATTTTGGAATTTAAAGCGGAAATAATGAAGTTTTTTTTTATTTTTAATATTAATAATAAATTTAATTTTTAATTTTTTAAATACAAAAAAATTAACTAAATTTTTATATTCAAGTTTTTGTTACCATATTTGAAGTTAATGGTAAGAGAAAGAAATAATGATTAAAAAATTATGATGGTAAATTTAAATTTAAATTTTTTGAGGATTAAAACTAGATTTTTTAATATCTTTAATTTTACAGTTAGTTTTTTTTTTCTTTATTTGAAAAAATAAATTTTAGACCCTTTCAATTTTAAGGTTGAATTAATAGGTCCAATCTATTTAAATTAAAATTTTTTGTTCAGACTATTATTGCACACGAGCAATACTATTGGGACATAATAAGTTGTCTCCAATGAAATGATAATGAATTTATTTAATATTACAATGAGACTCATCGTCAAATACATTTCACTATCATTTAGGTGATGACAACTCATTATGCTCTCAAATTATATCTCTCAATTATATCTCAATATCATTAGTGATATATTACGGATCCTTCCTTGAAGTGAGACCTTAAATTTGTTTGATTAAATTTGTGTTTTTATAAAGCCTTTTTGTAGGGTTTAAAATATTTATAAATTTAATTTTTTTTATGGACTATTTATTATATCTAAAAATTTGGGACATTTTTTTAAAATGTGACCCAAACTTTTTTGATAACACTGTTAAGCCGCCCCTGTGTATAAATGCGAAATAATTAATATACTTTTATGCTCTGATAAATTTATGCAAATTCGACAGTAAAAACCATGTTAAACTAAAGGTGATCTAAGATCGATTAAAAACTGTTTAGAGTCGACATAAAAGTTATGCGGATAATTGAGGAGAGACTCGAGAGTTCACTGTTGGTGAGTCTGCCTTTCAAGTTGCTGAACCCTTGATCAGCAACATTATCTCAATCAAAAACCTATGAAAAAAAAAAAATACAATGCACAGTCATATGATGAAACGACAAAACACCGCGTATCTGCAATAGATACTCTCTCCCACCCAGAATTATTTTTGAGCTTTCCATTCAAAATTGTTCTTGAGAATGGACAGAAAACAAGATAGAATTTGAAGAACAGTGGTCCAATGATTTAACTGGCACAATGAATCAATGGTCATGGTTCATCAACCTTGAGGTCATATCTGCTCTGGCTAATCCTCGGATTAGGCCTCCTCCACCAGCCTTTGTCTCCTTTATTGTGTTCAGTCATGTTGAAACAAGAAATGTCTTCTTGTCTAGGCCTGCTAAACCACCCATCATGCCCTGCAGGAGAAAAGGGCTGTGCCCTACCAAAAATACTGAATCCAGGCTTAGTGGGACAAGAACTAAACTTAATAGATATCGAACGATTCATTTGGGGACATCTGATAAAAATGGGGACGAGACTGAGAAAATTAATAGGGCCCCTACACAAGGGTGACCCACAATTACATATGATAGCTATCAGACACATTCACCTTAAAATTATTTGTACTTGAAGCATCAGATGTACCTCAGAATGTCCTTTTGTATATAGTACATGCTGCCCATTGAACTATCTGTCATCTTTACACGGAAGACAAGGTTTGCAGAGTGACCCCGTTAACATGTGTGGAGCTGTGCCTTGTGTGGAAGCGTCGGCACCACAGTAAAGAAATGACAGCAAAATGCACGGGGCTCCTAGCAAAATTTGAAGTGGTCGGTCGTACATAAGCAATCTTATAATGCGTTCAAAAAGACTGTTTATATGATTTGAATCTATGACTTACAAATTATAGAAGGACAACCTTATCGTGTTGCGACCTACCCTTTTACTCAAATTATTCATCAGTGTCATGATCTAATGCATGATAGGATAGAGGGCCTAGAGGCCTCCAAACTTTAACCTGGCATGAGTTACTACAGTCGGAGGAATGATGAGACAAAGATATCAAATGAAGATAAACATAGCTTTAGAAGGATCTATATAGATATCTCATTAGATATTTTTGTTTTTATTTCTTAACGAGTAGGAATATTTTGGTCAATTTACACGTATTTTGATAAAAAAATTTTCTAGTTTGGTCAAACACAAACTATCGATGTTGGGACTAGAATGTTCATGAGAGATAATTTTCTTATAATCTGACCCCAAAAAATTATTAAGATTCGAGCTTAAGATGTTTAAATTTATAGTTCATTTCTGTTACTATTTAAATCACCTCTTAAAATTTTGGACATTTTTCCTGAATTATCATAGAAGGTCCTAAGCTATCACCTACATAGAAAAACAACCCAATCTATAAAGGCTTGGATTCCATTAGATATACTCATGATCATCACAAGATCACATGCATGAATGTGTTGGTGCTGGTGCCGGTGCTGGTGCGAGTGCTGGTGCTGGGTAATGTCTAGTAAGTTTATTTAATCATTCAGCATCGCCAACTTGGCATGCATTGTTCTGAGACAATCACTTATATATCTTCAACGCTATATTTTGCATACACATTTCGTGTGCCACGATTTCTAACATGAAGAATATTATAAAGGATAAAGATGTGATGTACAAACATACTTAGGTTTTACGCAATGGTCTCCAACATATTAATTACGATTTAAAACATAACATACAACACGAAAAATAAAAGAGAATGTATATGCGCGGGATAATTCCTGCAATAGCTCGAGATAGCGATCTCCAAGTCGGCGAACCTAAAGCAACAGGGTCAGAAAAAGGGGGCCAGGTGAACACCAGACTTATCCCCTCCGAAGTTTAAGTCAGTCTAATCTCGAAGGCTTTAGCTCAATGAACAATCTTTTTTTGGTTCAAGTTTGCGTACTTTTGTTCATTTTTCTGAGGAGTATTTATACCTGAATTAACAATGATTGTCAAAGATCTTCAGTCCCGTTTGAACATCTAACATCTGACACACCATTCCTCGCGCAATGAGTGTCTTCCACTCACGTCTCCTCCCACTAAATGCTAGGACGATGGGATGAGTGCTCGGCTAAATGCCGAGCATTTATGCCCTTCCCCGAGTATCTAAATCCCTCAGATCGACATCTGACATCAACTGAGCATTGAATACTCAGGGGAACAGTTCATCGGGGAGAGCCGATCGCGTCATCTCGGCACATCAATCATAAATGCTTAGCCATCATGATAATAGGCCTAAACTCCCAGAGTACAGGTGCTTGTAGGCACGTATTTATTTGACTTGTCACCATCACTCATTCTGCCATATATGAAGGGTCACATAGTAGTAAATACAATCCCAGCTGTCAGACTTGGCTGCTCCGAATCAACATACCTTAGCTTACCTCCTCGGCGCCTTTTGGACATCACAACGGCTTCATTATTCCACGTGTCAATCTGGGGGTTGTAGAGCCACCTAGAGTCCCGCCAACTACCCCCAGCCGCCATCCTTTTCGCAGTCTAAGACAAGTAGAGTAAAGAGATTAGAGGCTCAATCATCACAGCTTATTAATAGCGACGGTTACTTACACGTCTGGTGCCGCCCTTTTCAAATACTCGAATGATGACCCAACTTTTCGATTCTCGCTCCCTGTAAGACAGTATAAATAGAAGGTATTCATGCCTTCTCAGAACTTCTGCATCCTCAGCCTCTCTTCAGCAATCAGACCCCGAGCGCTCCTTTGTTCTCCTCCGAGTTTCCTTCGTCCTCTAAACTCTCTTTTTGAAGACCACCTTCCTGTAAATACTTTCACTTGAGCTTTTTCTTTCTTCATTTCCTCTACATTTCTTTCTTTTAGCAGCCACCAATGCTCAGAACTAGGGGGAGACATCCGTTAGGTCTAGGGCTACTCATAAGATGAGAAAAACCCAAGTGACTAATGAGAACATCCAAGTTTTCAGGGTTAGGTACCACATCCATGAACTCGTCTTAACCTTCTCCTTTAACCTCACTCACCATAGGAGGGATATGGGAAGTGTGAACATGATGTCTTTCTAGACGAAGGCCATCATGGAAGAAAGGTTGACTTTCCCTCTTCATCCTCTGTTGCTGGGAGTGTTGATGCAATTGAAACTCTTTCCTCTTCAATGTGAGGTTAACTTCTTTAGGATTGTGATGGGCGTAGTCGCCTTAAATGCTCAGTTGGGGACCAACTTAGGAGCAGATAAAATTTTATTCTGCTATGACTTGAGGTTAGTCGCCTGGGGGAGATACTACCTCCAAGCTCGAGACACCTCAATATATCTGATAATCCACATGCCCGACTTGGACAAGGGGTATGTAGACGATCTGATCATGCTCGGCGGCAGTTGGGAGAAAGGACCAAGGTCCGAATATGATGGATTGTACTGGCTCAAAGTGCTGAGGGATGAATGTGTGTCTTCTTCCTAAGACTTGTACTGATTTTTCTATCCTTGGACCCGAGGGATGTATTGATTTCGCTATCTTTGCTTTTGTAGAAGGATATCGTCGGAACGCTGTTCAACCCTTGAGGTCCCAAGTTCGATTTGTCGACCCCCTAAGGGTTTGGTCCTTAGACCCAATTGAGCGAGCGACACACACTCTACTCGACTACACGCCGACTTACAGCCGATTTTCTTAGATCTCGCCTCCATTCAACCCTTCTCTTTGGGAAGACCATTCCTCATCGACAGAGGAAAAATTCCAGGGAGGTTCTGAAGAAGAATCTGATCATCCAACTCCCGAGCCCCTTGCGCCTAAAGAAATATTTAATCCACCACTAGTCATCGCTGCTACAATGGAGGCCGCCGCCATGACAAGGAGAGTCAGACTCATCGGGTTGGCCGGGCCTTTCAACACAGCCCCAATAATTCCCCCGCCGAGGTCTCCTCAGCGGTAACCACCGTCGTCACGTCCCCAACCATCCGGGGACCCCACTGTACCGACCAGACAAAGGCCCCCATCTCAAGTTTCAACTCTGAGAGACCAGCCGAGGGACCGACATGCCCGGGAGGCCGAACAATCTGAGAAACGTAGTGTGAAGCGGCGACATGACACCCCTGGCCCATTCGTCTCAGGCAACTGGATCCCTCGGGCTGAGACCAAGAGGGGCCGCCCCATCTTGGGAGCCGACTCCATCCTCCAGTCCCCCAAAGTGGCTTTTGTCATTGCGAGGACTTTTCAATTTGACACTGATATGACCGTGTACAAAGGCTATTCAAACAATCGACTTCTAATGAGCACTATACAGAGCAACTTAGTGGTAAGTATAACGATTTTCCGAGTATTCTTTACACAATTTTGGTCTTTTCCTAATAGTCTTCTCCCTTTTCAGGCTAGTCAGCAGGTGGGGGCCATTATTGAGTGTTTTTGGGAATATAAACAGGAGGCGAAGAATGCTGAGCGAGTCGTGGCTACCAAGGACGAGCACATCCTTAAGGTTGAGAGAACCCTCAGTGACCATACCAAACACATCACCAAGCTCATCCGTCAGTGAGATGCCCTTCATGCTGAGCTGAAAAAGACAAAAGCGGGTGAAGCTGCAATGGTAAAGAAGATCGAGGAGTGTGAGTTGCGAGTCTCCTCCTCCGAGGTCAAGCTGTAGGAGTCCGAGTCCGTTATAAATGATCTTACTGCCAAGGTGGACTCTCTGACAGTAGAGAAGACAGGGGAATAGGAAAGGCTGCAGTCAGAATGTCAAAGGGTGTGGTTGGCCACCCAGGACCAAATGGTCCCTACCTTCGAGGAAGCGAAGAAGAAGGCTTTCAAAGTAGGTTAGGACAACTCTTTTTGTGCATGCCATGTAGAGGTCGACTTGGACTTGTTCGCAATGCATAGCCTTCGAAGTGAGGTTGATGATGAAGCCGTGGAGGAACAAGTCCAAGCTGACCCAAGCGAACAAGTTCAGACCGAAGGGGCTGGTGGGTTCGAAGGTGGGAACGAACCCATCACACTTAGCGATGGCTCTGACCAGCCTTCTCTTGCCCTTCTGTCTTTGCCGCCTGCCGAACAAGCCGATGATTTTCCCCCTCCTCCGCCCCCAATCATTACTAGAGTACATAACACCGAGCTAGACGAGATATTGGGGGTTGGAGATGGACTACAAAGGCGGCATGACAAGCTCGATGGGGAAGATGCCAGGGAGGAATGAGCCGAGGGTCCTTAGCAACTTCTATTTCCATTGTTTGCTCTTATTTGTAGTTTTTTTGTACCAAATTGTGTATGCTCGGGGACGTAAGCCCCTTTTTGATTGTAATAGAACTTCATTTTTCTACAAGCATTTTTTCTTTCCTGCACCATGTTTATTTCTAGGCAATGGCCTTGACGTTACGTCAATAATGATCTAAAGTAGCAAGGCTTCACGTCAAATCCATAAAAGTAAAACGCGTCGAACTTGCTACTAGGACTTTGGATCCCCCGAGATCGATTATATACAGGGATGGGATCCCACACCTCTCGG